TAAACTATTTGATTAATTGAAGGTTTTAATGAACAACAAATTTGAAAATCTATATTAAGGCACAGAGAAAGTCATGAATAAACCCGGGTGCATCAAGGTCAGGTACACATCACCAACACACGTGTCTACGGGTAACAACCAGCTAATTGCCACTGTCATCATGGTAGCTATAACTAAAGGGTGTAGAGAACGTTAGACAGCGTCACCCCATTTAGGATGGCACTAATTATATATAAGTGTGTGCACGGGACCCTGCCTTGTGTTCTTAGTCGTACATCTTCAATGTAACCTTAATTATATGGTTCATGGATAAATGTGTCCAATTGAATTAATTATTACATCAGTTACATAATGTTCCATATTCATACATTGTAATAGTTTACGACCTTCACTCGTTTGTTACAGTTGTTCTACCTTCACTCGTTACTTACAGTGGTACTACCTTCACTCGTTATATACCTTACAGTTGTTCTACCTTAACTCGTTACTTACAGTTGTACTCCCTCCACTCGTTTCTTACAGTTGTACTACCTTCACTCGTTACTTACAGTTGTACTACCTCCACTCGTTTGTAACAGTTGTTCTACCTTCACTCGTTTCTTACAGTTGTTCTACCTTCACTTGTTTCTTACAGTTGTACGACCTTCACTCGTTACTTACAGTTGTACTACCTTCACTCGTTACATACAGTTGTACTACATTCACTCGTTACTTACAGTTGTACTACATTCACTAATTTCTTACAGTTGTACTACCTTCTCTCATTTATTACAGTTGTACTTCCTTCTCTCATTTCTTACAGTTAAACTACATTCACTCATTTCTTACAGTTGTACTACCTTCACTCATTTCTTACAGTTGTACTACCTTCTCTCATTTATTACAGTTGTACGACCTTCACTCGTTTCTTACAGTTGTACTACCTCCACTCATTTCTTACAGCTGTACTACCTTCATTCAATTTTTACAGTTGTACTACCTCCACTCGTTTCTTACAGTTGTACGACATTCACTCATTTCTTACAGTGGTACTACTTTCTCTCATTTCTTACAGTTGTACTACCTTCACTCGTTATATACTTACAGTTGTACTACATTCACTCGTTACTTACCGTTGTACTACCGTCACTCGTTACTTACAGTTGTACTACCGCCACTCGTTTCTTAGTTGTACTTCATTCACTCATTTCTTACAGTTGTACTTCCTTCACTCATTTCTTACAGTTGTACTACCTTCACTCATTTCTTACAGTTGTACTATATTCACTCATTTCTTACAGTTGTACTACCTTCTCTCATTTCTAACCGTTGTACTACCTTCACTCATTTATTACAGTTGTACTACCTTAACTCATTTTTTACAGTTGTACTACATTCACTCATTTCTTACAGTTGTACTACCTTCTCTCATTTCTTACCGTTGTACTACCTTCACTCATTTCTTACAGTTGTACTACCGTCACTCATTTCTTACATTTGTACTACCTTCACTCGTTACTTACAGTTGTACTACCTTCACTCGTTACTTACAGTTGTACTACCTTCACTCATTTCTTACAGTTGTACTACCTCCACTCGTTACTTACAGTTGTACTTCCATCACTCATTACCTACAGTTTTACTACCTTCACTCATTTCTTACAGTTGTACTACATTCACTCGTTACTTACAGTTGTACTACCGTCACTCGTTACTTACAATTGTACCACCTTCACTCATTTCTTACACTTGTACTACCGTCACTCGTTTCTTACAGTTGTACTACATTTACTCGTTACTTACCGTTGTACTGCATTCACTCGTTACTTACAGTTGTACTACCTTTACTCATTTCTTACAGTTGTACTACCTTCACTCGTTACTTACAGTTGTACTACCTTCTCTCATTTCTTACAGTTGTACTACCTTCACTCGTTATATACTTACAGTTGTACTACCTTCACTCGTTACTTACAGTTGTACTACCTTCACTCGTTACTTACAGTTGTACTACCTTCACTCGTTATATACTTACAGTTGTACTACCTTCACTCGTTACTTACAGTTGTACTACCTTCACTCGTTACTTACAGTTGTACTACCTTCACTCGTTATATACTTACAGTTGTACTACCTTCACTCGTTACTTACAGTTGTACTACCTTCACTCGTTACTTACAGTTGTACTACCTTCACTCGTTATATACTTACAGTTGTACTACCTTCACTCGTTACTTACAGTTGTACTACCTTCACTCGTTACTTACAGTTGTACTACCTTCACTCGTTATATACTTACAGTTGTACTACCTTCACTCGTTACTTACAGTTGTACTACCTTCACTCATTTCTTACAGTTGTACTACCTTCTCTCATTTCTTACAGTTGTACTACCTTCACTCGTTATATACTTACAGTTGTACTACCTTCACTCAGTTCTTACAGTTGTACTACATTCACTCATTTCTTACAGTTGTACTACCTTAACTCGTTACTTACAGTTGTACTACTTTCCCTCATTTCTTACAGTTGTACAACCCTCACTCGTTACTTACCGTTGTACTACCTTCACTCATTTTTTACAGTTGTACTACCTTCCCTCGTTACTTACAGTTGTACTACATTCGTTACTTACAGTTGTACTACTTTCACTCGTTACTTACAGTTGTACTACATTCGTTACTTACAGTTGTACTACCTTCACTCGTTACTTACAGTTGTACTACCTTCACTCGTTGTATACTTGCAGTTGTTCTACCGTCACCCGTTATATACTTACAGTTGTACTACCGTCACTCGTTATATACTTACAGTTGTACTACCTTCACTCATTTCTTACAGTTGTACTACTTTCACTCGTTACTTACAGTTGTACTACCTTCACTCGTTACTTACAGTTGTACTACCGTCACTCGTTACTTACAGTTGTACTACCGTCACTCGTTACTTACAGTTGTACTACCTTCACTCGTTACTTACAGTTGTACTACCTTCACTCGTTATATACTTACAGTTTCACTACATTCACTCATTACTTACAGTTGTACGACCTTCACTCGTTACTTACAGTTGTACTACTTTCACTCGTTACTTACAGTTGTACTACCTTCATTCGTTTATTACCGTTTTATAAAGCTTACGTGAAAATATCGCAAGCAGTCAATGCATTTCGTATGCTAACGTGAAATACCAGGGACTGTGTCCGAGACCTTAATCAATTTACTCCTCTCAACAAATGTCAACACCCTCATTAAAATATTGTTCATTTCATTCAACGAACAGTAAGTAAGTTATGAATCTGATACCGAGTTCGTCGCCTGGGAAACACTTACAATTGTACCTAAAGAGACATTCCTTCATCGGTGTACATACCATTGTACTTATTAATAAACAGTTCTGATTATAAGGTAGATATCACGATGTATGAAGAAGATTTTGTAATAATCATATAATAACAAAGGTAAATGTAAAGATATGTGGTGGAATAAGCATTCATATTTTTTACTTAATTATTACTACTATTTGAGAAATATTTTTTAACTAATCCATTAATGTAAAGGATACTATTTACACGCAGGACATAGAAGGAAGGAAATAATCAATTTTGAAACTGATACAAGTTACTTATTGTCTGTACCTTTTATTAATATAACTAATTGCATTTCATGTATACTTGTTAAGTTGATAACTGTTGGAATTGGTTAAACAGCTAGCGCCTTCTATTATTTTAGTCTACCTCCTCCTGACCGGGACCCTCAACAACCTTGAGATTAGAAGATACGCACTCAAAGCACAAAGTACCTATATGGCGCAACGACTATAGCAGTTCATGGTTACTGTTTATATCGTACATGACTAAAACAAAAAATAAAAAGCAAAATTGTCTTACTTATTAAATTGTCAATGTTCTGTAAGTTTCCCCTGACAGAATTAAGACTCATACTTACTCAAAGCATCACTGTCTTTTCTTTGATCGCTAATACAAAAGTGTCAACAGAACAATAATTCGGACTGAGAATAGATAAAACAAGGGTGAATTATGATGTAGACATTGAAAAAAATCAAAGAGAAGAAAACTAGGTGATTCAGAAGGGTAAGTGTCGGCGACACCCAATGTAGCCTTAGGTAAAATCCAAGACGTATCGCGTCCTCGTTACGAGAACGAGGGAAAATGACTACTTGGCAAATCTTCCTACATCATGTTATATTGGTCGTGCTTTGTCTTTGAATAACAAGAATACCGTGAAACGTTAATTTATCCTCCTTATTCTATGTTATCTTCATATCCTGAAATATTTGGATTTGACGTAGGAAGCATTTGGTGCTGTGTTATATACATGATATATATTATGTTATTACCATCAATAGAATATCCGGAATTAACCGTTTTGTGTATTATTGTATTCCGTCTCCGTATCTTGTTTCTATGTTTTGTTGTTTGACTTCCTGTTCCGGTAATAAAATGAAAAGTTGAAGAGTGAAGTTGTTTCGATTCATCTCTTAATAATCCTCTCACATCGCAAACCCAGTACATGGTGGAGAATCCAAATTGGACATAATGTAGAGTGATATAACTTATAATTAGAGTGTGGTTTTGGCCCCGGCACTTGCCGGTCGAGTTGTGTTTTTGTTTAATTAACGTGTGTCGGATGTCAGGCAGATGTTTACCACGTTTTGTTTCTTGAATGACTTTCTGTCCCGTGTTGCATGTATCGATGCCGTGATGACTGATGTGACTTATTTGTAAATTGATCAACTATCGCAAACCCAGTACAGCTGATACATTTAGCCTTTCTATATACCAGATGTCGCAGCGGCCTTTTTTTGTTGTGATTCATGATGGTCTACTTGGTTTTGCTCAGGTGTGTTGTTACTGTCTTGATATTCAAGTTAACTTGGTTGAAGTAGTAACAAAAACATAATAACGCTTTACCATGATACTTTTTAGTTGATTTATTTTGATACACAAAGTGACTGCAAATAAATCGTATTGTGTGATTTTATTCCACTTGTTGCAGACATCATTGGATTCGAAATCCCGTAAATGTGGTCCAGCCTCCTCCATATATACGTATGTTTCCGTTGTTAATTCCAAGGTTTTCCAGTATTCTGACCCACACTTTATCACCTTCATTAAGACGAATTACGACAGAATTTGTTGCCTGTTTGAATTGACTTTCGCCTGCTGCGTAGTTCACCATTATATTGCGGCCATTGTGGACCAACTCTGTTTCGAATTCGTCATGAGCCCTTACCATTATTGTAACGGAGAAGTAGTACATACCAGCTTTCGGACAGGTGAACACACCGGTCAGGTTACTGTACGCTGACCCTTCGTTCATAACATTTCCTTCAAAAATAAGAGTCTGATGCACACCGAGGTTGTTCTTCTCTGGACCGAGCTGGGTGGAGAATGCTATAACTGGTTCTTCTTTGTTCACAACTCGTCGATCTGAAGAGATTAAAAACGAGACGGATGTTTTATATTTATAATTATGATGGTCTTATAGTAGGAGTGTGTACTGTATATATATGAATGTGTTGCCTGATTGTCATGACTTTCGCCTGCTGCGTAGCTCACCATTATATTGCGGCCGTTGTGGACCAACTCTGTTTCGAATTCGTCATGACCCAATACCATACATGTAATTGTAACTGAGAAGTAGTACATACCAGCTTTCGGACAGGTTTATGTATATATATGTTACCTGCGTACAGTGGCCATTAGTTGTATTGAAGTAGTACTGTAGCTTCAATTAGTATGTTAAATGAATTGTGACATCAAAAATAATGAATAAAAACAATGAAACGGATGATGAACGACTGATGAGGTGAACATGGCTCCTCTTGATATTGAACAAAATTATCTTTTATTTTTTATTTTTGTATCAACATGGTCATTTCTTATCCCTAGTAATATTCATTAGCTTATAAGTTTTGATATTTTTGAAAATATGTTTAAAGAAAAGTTTAGCAGGTCCCAACAACCGGACTCGGAATGTAATATAACGTCATTATAATTGATTACGAGTCATTATTGTCATAATTATTTTACAGTGTAGAGGGTGTTCTATCCAGGCGGGTACACAGTTCAACCAGACATTAACGACTTAAAAATCAATAAGCAACTACACAATGTTTTTTTATAAAGAACTCAACGAAACAGCTGCCGTTACTGCACGTTATTGCAAGGGCGAGCAAGTTAATTCAATGTAATAGCATTTTGATTGATCTTTTTTTCGTCAGCCATACATTAAAAGGACACTTAATGGCAATAATTTGAAATGAAAGATGTGGTACCCGAAAAATGCTGATGAATTATCTCACATACAGTGACTGTACTCACCCCTGATGTTATCCGATATACCTTTACTATTTGAACAGGCATCTTCACGAACGGCTTGTAGTTGAGAAGCAAATTTCTGTTCCATCTGTTTTAAGCGATATTCGAAGTCTTCATTAGATTTCACCAAGGCGATCATTACCATCACGCTCCAAATGAACTGTATAATACGTCCCATTTCTGATTTTCTCACATAAAACTGGTACACATAGAATATGATTAGTTATATTAATGATTAATTAATGCTGGACGTTTTCATGAAAATGTAATTCCTCAATTATATAAAATTACGACAATGATTTACAGAGACACTGCAAGAAATATCTTCTAATTTTTCATTGAAGAATAGTGCATCTTGCACTGTATGTGCCCCTGTCACACTTGAGAAGTTTGACCTAGTTTGTGGCCCCATTCAGATATCTAGAGGGCTGGTTTTAACAAATCTGAATATACACTGAAATTTAATTGAACAAGAGGCCCAGAGGGCCTGTATCGCTCACCTGAATATTTCAGCAGTCATAGCAAATATTCTGATTAAATATTATATTGTACTACAAATTTGTCACTCGCAATCTTTGTCGGCTCCCTCTGTTGAAACTACCAGTCAAATATTATTATAAGATTTAATGCTTTTTGGCCATCGTTCTTCTTCAAATATTATGATTTTATGCCTTTCGATTTTTCATCAGAAGTCGCTCGATGTTTTTGACATATTTCACACCTGTGACCTTGAAAAAGGTCAAAGTCATTTTCATTCTCAAACTTTGTCAGACTCTGTCTCACGAAGCCACAAGGCAAATATGAAGGTTCTACACCTTTTAGTTCTTCAGAAGTCGGTTAAAGAGTTTGGCATATTTGACCACTGTGACCTTGAAAGTAGGTCAAGGTAATTTTCATTCTCAAACCCTGTCAGGCTCTATCCAAGGAAGCCACCAGCCAATTTTGAAGATTTTATACCTTTAGTTCTTCAGAAGAAGTCATTTGAAGTGTTTGACATATTTGACTGCTGTGACCTGGAAAGGAGGTCAGTCATTTTCATTCTCAAACTTTGTCGGGCTCTATCCCAGGAAGCCACCAGCCAAATATAAAGATTCTATACCTTTTGGTTCTTCAGAAGAAGTCGTTTATAGAGTTTGACATATTTGACTCCTTTGACCTTGTAAGCCAGTCAATGTCATTTTCATTCTCAAAGTCCGTCGGGCTCTATCCCAGGAATCCACCAACCAAATATGAAAATTCTATACCATTTGGTTATTCAGGAGAAGGCATTTAAAGAGTTTGACATATTTGACCCCTGTGACCTTGAAAGCAGGTCAAGGCATTTTCATTCTCAAATTTTGTCGGGCTCTATCCCAGGACCCCACCAACCAATTATACGGATTCTATACCTTTCAGTTCTTCAGGAAAAGGCATTTAAAGAGTTTGCCATATTTGACAACTGTGACCTTGAACGTTAGTCAAGGTCATTTTCTTTCTCAAACTTTTTCAGGCTCTTTCCCAAGAAGCCACCAGCAAAATATGAAGGTTCTATAACTTTTAGTTCTTCAGAAGAAGTCGTTCAAAGAGTTTGGCATATTTGACCCCTGTGACCTTGAAAGTAGGTCAAAGTCATTTTCATTCTCAAACTTTGTTGGGCTCTATCCAAGAAAGCCACCAGCCAAATATAAAGATATTATACCTTCTAGTTTTTCAGTTGAAGTCGTTTGAAGAGTTTGTCATATTTGACTCATGTGACCTTGAAAGTAGGTCAAAGTCATTTTCATTCTCAAACTTTGTCGGGCTCTAGTCTATCCCAGGAAGCCACCAGCCAAAAATGAAGGTTATATACCTTTTAGTTCTTCAGAAGAAGTCGTTTGAAGCGTTTGACATATTTGACTCCTGTGACCTTGAAAGTAGGTCAAGGTAAAAAAAATATGCAAACTTTGTCGGGCTTTATCCCAGGAAGCCACCAGCCAAATAGAAAGATTCTATACCTGTTAGTTCTTCTGAAGTCATTTAAAAAGTTTGACATATTTGACCCCTATGACCTTGAAAGCAAGTCAAAATCATTTTTATTCGCAAACTTTGTCGGGCTCTCTCTCAGGAAGCCACCAGGCAAATCTAAAGATTCAGTACCGTTTGGTTCTTAAGAAGAAGTTGTTTAAAGAGTTTAACATATTTGACCCTGGGACCTAGAAAGCAGGTCAATGTCATTTTCATTGTCAAACTTTGTTGGGTTCTATCCCAAGAAGCCATTAGATAAATATAAAGATTATATACCTTTTAGTTCTTCAGGAGAAGTCGTTTAAAGAGTATGACATATTTGACCCTGTGACCTTGAAAGTAGGTCAAGGTCATTTTCATTCGCAAATTTTGTTGGGCTCCTACCAAGGAAGCTTTCAGCTAAATAACATGACCCTAGGCCTGTCCGTTCTTCAGAAGAAGTTGTTTAAAGAGTTTAACATATTTGACCCTGTGACCTTGAAAGTAGGTCAAGGTCATTTTCATTCGCAAATTTTGTTGGGCTCCTACCAAGGAAGCTTTCAGCTAAATAACATGACCCTAGGCCTGTCCGTTCTTCAGAAGCAGTTGTTTAAAGGAAAAGTCGACGGACGACACCGGACGACGGACAGCGCACCATGACATAAAAACAAGTAAACTGAGGTTAACCTTATTTTAGAAAGCTTAGAAAAATCTTTCAAACTATAAGCTATCTTTGACTTCTTGTAGGTTCCCCTAATGTATAGAGACAAATCTTGCTTATTTTAACAAACAAGGGTTTCCTTCAAAAACTGATCATGTCTACACGTGAAGGGTTAAGTCTGCATTTCATAAATGTCTGGAATAGAGAAGAAGGGTCTATTTATAAGTGAAAAACGCAAAGCCGTAATAGGTCACTTCAGCCAAAGATCTATGATCACCTAATGCGATCCACCTTCGTCCGTCGTCGTGCGCCTTTTGTTGTGCACACTTCACAATTGTAACTTAAATGCAAATATTACTGAAGGGATTTCAATGAAACTTTATTGATACATTAAGTACATGGTTGGAACAAGATGTTCTTATTAACCTAGATGGAATTTATTAACTTCTATTCTGATGAAAGGATTTCATTGAAACTTTATAGTAATCAGTTCCTAACCATGTGTATATTTGGTCGGCTCGGCCAGGTATCCAAGATGGACTCCATTTTTAAAGTATGTTTTGAACTAAAATTTCAGTTCTGTAAAAGTGATTTTAATGAAACTTCATAAGAATGACCAATACATGGTCCGACATAGTACTGTTAATTTCCGAGTAGGCCAAATATACTAGATTTCCGCCACGGACGCCATATGAAAATCTATTTTAAACTTAAGCTCAATTTCTGCTGAAGGGGTTATAATGAAACTTCATAGAAATGTTCAGTACAGGGTCCAGTCAAGTCAAACATTGTCAAAATGTTTATATGAAAATTCATTTTGGAATACATGTTTAACTTCAGTTATACTGAAGGAATTTCAATGAAACTTCATAGAAATGTTCAGTACAGGGTCCCGTCAAGTCAAACATTGTCAAAATGTTTATATGAAAATTCATTTTGGAATACATGTTTAACTTCAGTTATACTGAATGAATTTCAATGAAACTTCATAGAAATGTTCAGTACTTATAGCCTTAACTATAAAGTGTGGGATACTGACCTATTACCCCGTGTGATCAAAGTACACGTTATAATGTCCCGGTTGTCGAGGATTCGGCTGTAAAGTGTACAAGTTGTGTGAGCGGTCTTATCTATACACGAAGGTCGCAAGACTCTGGTTTCTTATCATAGCAGTGGTAGTACAAACAGTACATATACAATATCTTCTTTGATCCTTTACAGTAATAACAGAAATGTTTCTATTAAAACATGAATCACATGTTGAGACAGCATAAACATACTCATTGGAGGTATGTACAGTATGTATACAGTAATAATTACAGTAAAATAATAACATATACTACGGAAACGCTCTATAAACTCCACACTATTCGATGTCACGTAAACATAATTTTTTTACGATGCGACATTTCCGGTGTTCGTTACGAAGAGAGTGTGGCGTTTAGTAGTTAATACAATCAAGTGGGCACGTGATAGTTGTCATTGGAATGACTAAAAAATACAGTTAATTGGTTGAATGTGACGGCAAGATTTATGTTAATGAAACCGTAAAAAGCGTCATCTACAGAAACAAGAGGCCCAATGGGCCTGCATCGCTCACCTGGTAATAATATCACACTTGTAATCTTAAGATTTCATAAGAACCTATTAAAAGATTTAAACATACGACGCCTGTGACCTTGATTGTCAAACAAGGACATTAGGTTGACAGTGGATCAAGGTCATTCATCTGAACTAACTTGGTAGTCCTTCATCCCAGCATGCTACAGGCCCAATTTCTGTACCATGGGCCTTTGGTTATTGAGAAGAAGTCGTTTGTAGATTTTAAGACATTTGACCACTGTCACCTTGAAAGTTGGTCAAGGTCATTCTTTTGAACAAACTTGGTAGTCCTTCATCCCAGCATGGTACAGGCCCAATATCAGTACCCTGGGCCTTTTGGTTATTGAGAAGTTGTTTGAAGATATTAAGACATTTAACCACGTGACCTTGAGCATTGGTCAAGGTCATTCATTTTAGCATGCTACAGGCCTAATATCAGTACACTGGACCTTTTGGTTATTGAGAAGAAGTTGTTTGAAGATTTTAAGACATTTGACCCCTGTGACCCTGAAAATTGGTCAAGGTCATTCGTTTTAACAAACTTAGTAGTCATTCATCCCAGCATGCTACAGGCCACATATCAGTACCCTGGGCCTTTTGGTTATTGAGAAGAAGTTGTTTGAAGATTTTAAGACATCTGACCCCAGTGACCTTGAAAGTGAGTCAAGGTCATTCATTTTAACAAATTGGTAGCCCTTCATCCCAGCATGCTACTGGCCAAATATCATCATCCTAGGCCTTTTGGTTACTGAAAAGAAGTTGTTTTAAGTAAAAAGTTTACGCCGGACAGACGGACGACGGACGCCGCACCATGGCATAAGCCAAAAAATTAATAGTTTAAAGTGACAACCAAAAAAAATGATTAATGACATTTTGTGAATTATCGTATGATGCTATGATCACGTGGCATCAGAAATAACGTTACAGTAATGAAATGGTCCTTCAATATTCGGGAAAATATTACCGAGAAATTGTAATTATTGAACATAACATCCTGAATTTCGTTGATGAAAAATATGACATTCAGGAATAAAGTCAATGCATTGGAGGAGTATGACGCCCAGAAGTATCCCTTATGAAAAGATTAAACACAGAATTGTTAATGAAAGGTTGAAGATTATACACGTATCATATCCATTCTTAATGAAATGATCGTGTGTCCGAAACATTGTTTATGAAATGGTCCAGTGACATTTAACGACATCGTTAATGAAGCAGTTCAGTGATATATCTTTAATGGAACGGTTAACGTTGCGTGTGTCAAATCGAAAATTGTTGATAAAACTAAAATGTGTATGAATTCAGCATCCATTAACATGGTTTTTACAGCTTACTATGACAATTAGAAAAAAGTGATGATGTTCTTGATATAATAAAAAATAAATATCGGTGTTGGTCATCTAGTAGCAAAGCGTAGCTAAATTGATTTGTTGATATGCTTGTAATTTCTAACATTGTTTAATCTAACTGTACATGTGCTTAAGCGTGGCCGAACATAATATTTGAACACCTAGGACCTAACTTGTCATTTGTCTGATGAATGTGATCAAGTACGTATCGAACTAAAAACACCAAAACGTCACATGTTCTCTCCTTAGACACCAGTTGTATTTGTAGTTCAACCCAATATGTTTTGCTCTAAATACAGCTGGAAGCATTTTGGTAACCATGTATTAATAAGAACGCAAACTACGACATTTGGTCATAACAACAAAACACAAAATCATATAATGCTTAATAAGCAGTGGCTAGTTAACATCCCAAGAGAGCGCTAACAACAAGTAACACTCGCAAATGGTATGAACTATGCCATCGTTCCAGATAAAATCCCAGTTGATGAATTTCGTCTTAAACATGTACGAAACTTCAGCTCTGCTGGATGACAGAGTTTTGAACCCTATCAAGTTTGAAGTACCAATAAGAAATATAACTACTGTATATATATACACATGTAAGAAATATTTGCGTGTCGCACTTGATCACAAACAATACAAGACACTTTTGTATATTATCACCAGCTAGAAAGCCAATGTAACGTCGCCAATTGTGAGGTCAATAACATGGCTATTCGGATTGTTCCGCGACAGCAAACTACATGAACACTGGGACAGCTTCAGACCAATCCAACTTAAATAGACTGAAAACTAATTCGCTTTAAATTCTGTTTCTTAATTTCGTAATTTCGTAGTTCTTTGTAGCGCCATCCGGAGATAGAGTAAAACTGTAATATACAAACGCACATTCTTACTAACACGATAGAGTAAGCTTATAAACACTGAACGAGAAATAAGATAAATTCAACTTAATTCGACATGTCATGCATGACAAATGTACAATATGACTCAATACTAATGACTAGAAGAAACATGTAACACATATTTATCGATAGTTACCCTATTCTTTGCCGCAGATGTAAAAAAATCTCTCTATTTATGGTGGTACCATGTGCTTCTAAAATGGTGTAGATCTGCTAAAGATCTGAGGCAATACTAAATTGTGGTCGGTAATGTCCAGAAAGGCGTATAAAATAATAACCTACTCGACCGGGTAGATAGATCCGGAAATATCATATAGATGATTATAGGACAGAGGTACATTATATATACTACATCCATATTACATTTGCTGAGGTGAACTCAATACAATATTTAAGTATTCCACAAATAAATCACTACTTAAAATAAATGTTTTTTTGTTTTGTAACATGACATTAAAAGTACCCCATTTTAATTAAAACAAAGAAAGATTACTGAATCAAATACAGATACATTTAATCCACTGCAGAGAATAACCCTGCACTGTACTGCACACCAATGATCCACAAACAATTGTTAGATCTATTGCTATTGCTGACTTTATTGGTTCCATCAGTTAGTGTTTCAAGTCCCTAGGCAGACATTCTCGTATACTTACCACTAGTGGGAATTCAGAACACCACGTAGAGAACTCTAAATACCTGAAGGAAGTACGACGTTGTCTTTCCCTCTCTCCCTCTATAACAAACACTCCTATTGAGGATGCAGTGTTAACCTTTTAAATGTCGCTTAAGATGAAAAAGCATACAAACTCAACTCCCCATATCTAAAGGTATGGCATAGTCATCCAAAATGTCAACCCTTTGATAATTTCTATTTAAAGACCATAATTAAAAATCGATATGCAATTTTGTTGATATCCAGAAATTCACAAATGAGGAGCATTTTCTCATAAGTTACCAGAATTTCATAAACAAGAGTACTGCGGGGCGGAACAATATACGCTCGTCGAATGCCATATAGTGTTATATACTTTCTTACATTGAAATAAGATCTGCATCATTCTAAGAGTGGTTAGCTGACATGCTACATTGTGTAAAAAATGTAGGAGAAAATCTCCTGACAAAAAATAAAATGTTGAAATGAACAAAGGGCAAGAACTTTTGCAAAAAATGTTGAATCAAAATTCTTTTAGGGGAGACACAACTTCATATCATGATTATAATGTATACCAAGTTTCAAAGAGATCCGTTGAAAAATGTAGGAGGAGATTGCCGGATAAAAATCAAATACTGAAATAAACAAAGGGCAATAACCTTTACAAAAATTGTTGAATTAAAATTCTTTTCAAGGAAACACAACAACATATCATGATTATTTAGCCTAATAAGTGTCAAAGAAATCTGTCAAAACAGGTAGGAGTAGATCTCCGGACAGAAAAACAAATACTGAAATGAACAAAGGGCAAGAACTTTTGGAAAAGTTGTTAAATCAATATTCTCTTAAGGGAGACACAACTTCATATCATGATTATAATGTATACCAAGTTTCAAAGAGATCGGTTGAAAAATGTAGGAGGAGATTGCCGGCCAAACAAAAGTTTACGCCGGACGGACAACCCCATACCATAATACTTCCGTCAAATTTGACGAGCGTATAAAAATAACAAAATATGAAAAGAATAAATTTACATTTTGTTTATTTCATTTTTTATAATGAACATGTCTGTGTATTAGATTTCAGAATGAAATGAACGCAAACACACGTAATATAATAACCGTCAAAGTATATATGTACAGTACAATTCCTCCCTCAATGCTGATAATACCCTTCATGCTGGAGACCGGCATCATTATAATATTGACAGGGTGTTTACATGTACCTGATACTTCTGTAGAACTATAGCCGCCGGCTGGAGTTTATTAAATCTTTGTACATGTATACATACATGATATCATCATCCTATCCATTTAGTGAGCATAAAATGAGCCAATAATCCTTTTTATGATGGAAGATTTTTCCAATCACATTTCTCATTATTATATTAAGTAGAGAATGAATACTGGAGTCGTGTATGTTCTCTAAATCAAATAATTTTAAAATTGGAAACATTCAAATTCCCTATTTCATTACAATACTCCATGAAACAAACAATTGTAGACTTGTACATCAGAAGTGATCTTGCTTCAAAAATTCTCCATACCCCATTTTATTGTGTATAGAAAATATATAATGTCTTGGTAACTCTTTCTTTGTTTATAATGGCACAATTTAATGTACAATAACTAGCACCTAAGAGATAACTAAAAGTTTTTTTTTCTTTGAAAATGTTTAAGTATCAACTAAGGATAAAAAACATGACCCCATAACCAGTACTTTTCTCAAACATAAACATTTTTTACAGTGTATACACTTACTGTATAATGAAACCACTACAGCATTGCATGTTTTTCTGCAACTTTTTGCAAGTACATTTGGACCTTAGATGTCTATATATCATTTTGATCCCATGTAACCATTTTTTTCGTTTTACCTGTCAATATGTTCTATGTTGTGGTGTGACCTTTATACATTGTATATTAGGACCTTTAGGGCCACTTTACATTGTCTACTGGGACTCTAAATGTCTGTACATTGTATATTGGAACTCTTTAGGATCCGTGACTTAACACTGTATATTTGGGTCTTGCACTGAAATATTGAATTATTTAGAGAAAAAAATGATCACTTGTATGTCTGATCCCAAGTTCTCAAACTAAGGGGAGATAGGCAAGTAGTAAAATGCAGCAGAGAATTCCTAATGAAACCATAGGGGACTGGTAGCCAGTCGAATTGGGTCTCTATATGACCTTATACATGTACAAATGTGCATGGATACTCGACCCTTTATATCTATACATTGTACATTGCTGCACCTTAGACCCATATGTTTACCTGTGGTAATAAGCCTAGGGGGATTCTTCTTTGTAGTACATAGGGTAACAATGGGTAGTGGAACTTCTCTACCCAGTATATAGAATGATCTTATTCCCTAAAGTGTGAGTTTAATAACAAGCATCAACATATCGCCAGAAAATATACTCTATACAAAGTAAGGCTTCAAGTATTCAATATCCTACAGCACCACAGCGAGCAGTGTTTTAGCAAAATATATTCTGTATTTGACAGCGTACTGTAAAATAAAAGTGGATATTGTTGTGTCTTGGTTATAAAGCAGGCAGTATAACTATATAGTGATACCATTATGTTATCTGTAACATAACTGCGTATGATTTCAAAATGTTTTAACTATCTTAAACGCCCTCAAACTATTACTGTTTGTATGAATAGACAGGAAAAACACTTTTAATGTCTACATGCAATATAAAATAATAGGTGGGACACTACCTGAAAATGATTCAGTTTTAAAGCTTTACCTACACACTATGATGTAGTTTTAAAGCTTTACCTTCACACTATGCACTGAAATAGTGTTTTGTATCCTACAACTGATGTTGGTTTGATAAGTTTTTTCTACTCAACATTTAGATAATTACATTTTAAAAGATAGTGAAAAAAGTTTAGTTTAGAAAAATAGATACAGATGTACAAATAATGTGATGGCAAGTGTGGTACCCATTTAAAACATTTGAATTTTCCCCTCACTAAGGGCACTGAAAGCCTTAAATAAAACAATCTAACATTCAGTGACAGAACAGTGAGGTAGAAAATACACGGTACAGTTTGCATGCATCAGTATGTAATTCATTTGAAAAACTTCGAAGAAATCTCCGACACTTGAAACATATATCCATGTAGTATTTGAATTTCAGTTTATTAAAGTTGTAAATAGCTAAATTTTCGAAACATATATTTTTGTTTAAAAGTAAATTTTGAGTAATTCTATTAGCCTAGCCTATACTTTCATTATAAATACTAAAAATGTTGGCTAATCAAACATAAAATTTATCATCATAAAATTGTGATTTATAGCATAACAATAATAAAACAAAAAGCACAGATTACAGTTTTTACATACTGGGCTAGTATAGGTAAATATTTACTTTCCTTTATTACTCTAGGTGTAAATTACTCTTTGCAGGATCTTGCTTTATAGTGTGAACAAAAAATTGAATGTGTTTACTAATTTGATTAAGCAATTTTATAAACTACAAAAATATGTGGGTTTTCTTCAGGTTAAAGGCACATGTTCATTGTACAAAGGAACAATTTCATAGAAAAATAACAACTTATTCTGCAAAAGGTAGATCAAGACACAAGCTTGTAGTGCTACTGAATCAGAAATATAATTAATTCAAGGAATTTTATGACTTTCACATTTTCAAAAAAAGAATTTGTTTAAAAATGGTGTGAAAAACCTGTGTCATATTACAATACATATTGTCAGTAAATGATAATATAAAACCACCAGTAACTGCCTTCTCTCATTCCTTTTATGATGTTGAACTGATTTGATAGTGACCAGCTGACTATTTGTCATTGTAATCTGCATGGATCATAACTCCAGGATTAAAAGATTTCAATTGAACCATTAAAAACAATTTTACAATTAAACGATTGACAAGGAACGGAGACAGTTGTAAACCACATTTTGACACATACTTAGCCCCTTGATTCTGTGGTACTTGGTACTCTCCTTGTTTACTACGACAAAATGATGCAGACCATAAGTTGTAGTACAGGTGGCTTTGTTAACAACAAAATATTCTACAAGGCTCGATACTTATATTGTCAGTTTCTAGGAGTGTACATAATTACTAACATGATAGCGACACAATTTGCAGGCTTCTTTATCCAACAGAAAAATTACAGTGCAAAGAATTACCACAATCAAATCCAGTGCATGGAATTTAGTTTGTTTCACTTTCTTTGTGTTAAGTCCTATTAACAGCTACGGTCATTTAAGGACATGCCAGGTTTTGGTGATGGAGGAAAGCCGAATTCCCCGGAGAAAAACCACCAACCGTACCTGGCGACTGCCCCCTGGTAGGTCTAGAACCCTCTACCCAGTGGTGGAGGGCTAGTGGTTGCAGAATGACGGATGCCTTAACCACTTAGCAATCGTGACCCACCTTAACCACTTGGCCATCGTGGCCCCTAATGGTGCATGGAAGATATACATTGTTTAAATATATATTACATGTATAGAAATCTTCACTTTGTATGTTAATAAACTTATTTATTTTTTGCAAAAATCTATCTTCCCATCATAATCACATTCTCAAAAACCAATCTTATACAACAAACACTGCAATCTACATTCTTCAAAATAATCCTCCTTATTGTAATATAAGATACATACATCTAGTTTTCACACTGAGATTTGAAAGATTTTGGAAGTCTTCCAGCAGAAGATTTTGATCTGCATGGTTAGAAAAAACTTATGGCAGAAGAAAACTGCAAATACACATGTAATGTTGTTCCCTGTAGATTCCGTAGCCCTGATATTGATATGAACACAGTGACTTTATGTCATTTGATCTTAATTAGTCCCACCACAAAAATATCTAACAATCAGTACTGAAAATCTTTGTGGTCCCAAATGGTGCACAATGAAAGTATGAACCATGAAAATTGTGTTCTTATTTGATTGGATAAACAGGTATTTTAAAATAAACTCCTTTTTCAAAACTTTTATCTAAAGAGAGAAAGTGGAGAAATAAAATGAAAACATTGAATATATTATTGTCTTCCTGTAACAGAATTAATCATTATTAACAGATAAAATCATCAGCTCATAGTTCTCATCACCATTTAGAATCTACAATCCTGACATTCTTATTGTGTGTTATTCAACTTAACTATGTCCAGTTGATTTGTAACTTTTTTGTGATTTTGTCTTTTTGATGAGAGAAATCCAAAGCCTAACTAGAATTATTACAAAAAGAAAAGAGAAAAAATGTTCTCACAACCGTTACTACAATGTAACATTGGGTATAATCCAGCAGACAAATTAGTCTGTGGAATTGTGATCATGAAACTAAAAACCACACATTGCTATGACATACGGTGTGGCAAATGTCACACAAATTTAAGAAAATATACCTTGCCCCTAGTATTAAACTTAGGCACACCATCCAATATTAGCCAGCTCCGACAAATACTATAGCACTATCTAATATTACTAGCTTAACATCTTACAAGACGCATCATTTTCATTTACCTCATGTACATAACATCTCAGTTAACAACAAACAATTACAATATACTTCTGAAAGTATGTAAACAAAACATTATTATAGAAAACCTGCATACTGATAGACAATTCAAAACTAAAAACTTCAAATAATTTCTGTATTATAGAAAGTACACATCAGTAGCAGAAAGTTTCCAAAAGGGAAGGGGGAGGGCAATAGCTAACAACTTCTCTTAGACTTTTTTTGTAAAAGTACCAGAGAGGAACCATGTTTCCCTGTCATAAAAGTATTATGTACATTCCTTCAGAATAACCTGTTATTTAATAATTAACACAACTGTTATTCTCTGACATTCAAACCTGATTGTTCATGTATATAATATCAGATAACTTCGATAAAAATCAAAATAACAATTAATCTAACAGACTTTCCTGAAAAAATGTTTATAATCCTCCGTATTCCGATAACCTACTGACTAACTGGTGAAATACCATCGACACAAAATAGCACAATAGAATTGTTCATATATCAAAATAGTCAATCTCAATACAGAAGAATAGACGTCTTTTGGGTTTTTATATTCTTACATACACATTTACATACTGAATAAATATATATATTTAACATGTTCATGGTTGATGACTTGGTTACGGTGAATTGTAGCACTCTGAATCTTTCCCGACAGTTGATGGACAATCCTTCCTTATTCCAAGCATGCACCAAAGCACTTCTTAACAGCATCTCTAAAAACAAAATATTTTTTTTTTATTGTAGAACTTTTATTATTTAAATAAAATAGAAAATTCGAAATTCTACCATGTCATCGATGTAAATTTAATGGCATTTTTCATAGGTCGGCAACCATGAGTTGTTAGACAACTGACCATGCACATGCCCCAATAAATATATGCACTTGCACTCTAGAACGCCTTCCGTTACAAATGAAGTGTTAGAATAGATATAATGTTGAAATGTATACGGTATACTGCTGGATTTGAAAACATTGTATTATATATTCTACCACAACACATGATGTACGTTTGTTGATTTTTTCCTGAAGCACATCTTTTAGGTAAGTACACTTGTTTCAAGTTTAATAGTAAATCACATGTCACATGACTGTGTGACATGACTTGAGGGATACTGAGTTATAGGATATGCCATAGGGCATGATAATGAGTCTGTTATAAGCATGATGTACAATGGCAAGCTTACAGAGTTATGAAATATTCAGATGGAAATGTATCTTTCCTATCGAATAAATCCTTATCACACGAAGATTAACAAGATAGCCCAAAGTAGACAACAGGTGATGAAAATCAAATCTAAAATCACTAGCCACCAAGAATAATGTTAACCCATTTAATTTTGGTCAATAAAATCTTCATATTCCAAACAATATCATTAGACTGATAACGATATCTATTCTTAATTAATTACTAATAAAACATTAACATAAAGCATGATCGAGTGTCAGTCAACATACAGCAATAACTGATGCACAATTATACTGATTGATTGAAACAGAACTCCTAACTTAAAAGATTTCATTTGTAATAAATTGGATTTGTTCATAGTCTTTTAAATATTTAAACATTGCTGTTAAATTAAACATACATGTGAGTAATGTCTTTTTCAATAAGGTTAACTTTTATGTAATGGCATTGTTGTATAAATGTTCATATGCAGTCTAGACATATATTTTTGTGGGGGGAACCAAAAATATATGTAGGAAATTTTCTGCAGTAGAATTGAAATCTTACGTAACTAACATACTGTAATAGCGGCTATGATTGTACTAACATATAGACTTACCTGGCAAAGGGGATGTAGGACAATGAGTACCAGGTTACAAACTGTTATAGCAGCTATGATTGTACTGACATATAGACTTACCTGGCAAAGGGGATGTAGGACAATGAGTACCAGGTTACAAACTGTTATAGCGGCTATGATTGTACTGACATAAAGACTTACCTGGCAAAGGGGATGTAGGACAATGAGTACCAGGTTACAAACTGTTATAGCGGCTATGATTGTACTGACATAAAGACTTACCTGGCAAAGGGGATGTAGGACAATGAGTACCAGGTTACAAACTGTTATAGCGGCTATGATTGTACTGACATAAAGACTTACCTGGCAAAGGGGATGTAGGACAATGAGTACCAGGTTACAAACTGTTATAGCGGCTATGATTGTACTGACATAAAGACTTACCTGGCAAAGGGGATGTAGGACAATGAGTACCAGGTTACAAACTGTTATAGCGGCTATGATTGTACTGACATAAAGACTTACCTGGCAAAGGGGATGTAGGACAATGAGTACCAGGTTACAAACTGTTATAGCGGCTATGATTGTACTGACATAAAGACTTACCTGGCAAAGGGGATGTAGGACAATGAGTACCAGGTTACAAACTGTTATAGCGGCTATGATTGTACTGACATAAAGACTTACCTGGCAAAGGGGATGTAGGACAATGAGTACCAGGTTACAAACTGTTATAGCGGCTATGATTGTACTGACATAAAGACTTACCTGGCAAAGGGGATGTAGGACAATGAGTACCAGGTTACAAACTGTTATAGCGGCTATGATTGTACTGACATAAAGACTTACCTGGCAAAGGGGATGTAGGACAATGAGTACCAGGTTACAAACTGTTATACCGGCTATGATTGTACTGACATTAAGACATATCTGGTGGGTATGTAGGACAATGAGTACCAGGTTACAAACTGTTATAGCGGCTATGATTGTACTGACATAAAGACTTACCTGGTAAAGAGGATGTAGGACAATGAGTACCAGGTTACAAGCTGTTATAGCGGCTATGATTGTACTGACATATAGCTATAGACTTACCTAGCAAAGGAGATGTAGGACAATGAGTACCAGGTTACAAACTGTTATAGTGGCTATGATTATACTGACATATAGACTTACCTGGCAAAGGGCATGTAGGACAATGAGTACCAGGTTACAAACTGTTATAGTGGCTATGATTGTACTGACATAAAGACTTATCTGGCAAAGGGGATCTAGGACAATGAGTACCAGGTTACAAACTGTAATAGCGGCTATGATTGTACTGACATATAGCTATAGACTTTCCTAGCAAAGGAGATGTAGGACAATGAGTACCAGGTTACAAGCTGTTATAGCGGCTATGATTGTACTGACATAAAGACTTACCTGGCAAAAGGGATGTAGGACAATGAGTACCAGGATACAAACTGTTATAGCAGCTATGATTGTACTGACAAGTACCAGGTTACAAACTGTTATAGGGGCTATGATTGTACTGACATAAAGACTTACCTGCGAAGGAGATGTAGGACAATGAGTACCAGGATACAAACTGTTATAGCAGCTATGATTGTACTGACATAAACCCCGCTATGATTGTACTGACATAAAGACTTACCTGGTAAAGAGGATGTAGGACAATGAGTACCAGGTTACAAACTGTTATACCGGCTATGATTGTACTGACATAAAGACTTACCTGCGAAGGAGATGTAGGACAATGAGTACCAGGATACAAACTGTTATAGCAGCTATGATTGTACTGACAAGTACCAGGTTACAAACTGTTATAGGGGCTATGATTGTACTGACATAAAGACTTATCTGGCAAAGGGGATCTAGGACAATGAGTACCAGGTTACAAACTGTTATCCCGGCTATGATTGTACTGACATTAAGACATATCTGGTGGGTATGTAGGACAATGAGTACCAGGTTACAAACTTTTATAGCAGCTATGATTGTACTGACATAAAGACTTACCTGGTAAAGAGGATGTAGGACAATGAGTACCAGGTTACAAGCTGTTATAGCGGCTATGATTGTACTGACATAAGGACTTGCCTGGCAAAGGGTATGTAGGACAATGAGTATCAGGTTATAAACTGTTATAGCGGCTATGATTGTACTGACATATAGACTCACCTGGCAAAGGGTATGTAGGACAATGAGAACCAGGTTACAAACTGTTATAGTGGCTATGATTGTACTGACATAAAGACTTATCTGGCAAAGGGGATCTAGGACAATGAGTACCAGGTTACAAACTGTAATAGCGGCTATGATTGTACTGACATATAGACTTACCTGGCAAAGGGTATGTAGGACAATGAGAACCAGGTTACAAACTGTTATAGCAGCTATGATTGTACTGACATAAACCCCGCTATGATTGTACTGACATAAAGACTTACCTGGTAAAGAGGATGTAGGACAATGAGTACCAGGTTACAAGCTGTTATAGCGGCTATGATTGTACTGACATATAGACTTACCTGGGAAAGGGGATGTAGGACAATGAGTACCAGGATACAAACTGTTATAGCAGCTATGATTGTACTGACATAAAGACTTACCTGCGAAGGAGATGTAGGACAATGAGTACCAGGATACAAACTGTTATAGCAGCTATGATTGTACTGACAAGTACCAGGTTACAAACTGTTATAGGGGCTATGATTGTACTGTCATATAGACTTACCTGGCAAAGGGGATGTAGGACAATGAGAACCAGGTTACAAACTGTTATAGCAGCTATGATTGTACTGACATAAAGACTTACCTGGCAAAAGGGATGTAGGACAATGAGTACCAGGATACAAACTGTTATAGCAGCTATGATTGTACTGACATAAACCCCGCTATGATTGTACTGACATAAAGACTTACCTGCGAAGGAGATGTAGGACAATGAGTACCAGGTTACAAACTGTTATAGCGGCTATGATTGTACTGACATATAGCTATAGACTTACCTAGCAAAGGAGATGTAGGACAATGAGTACCAGGTTACAAACTGTTATAGTGGCTATGATTGTACTGACATATAGACTTACCTGGCAAAGGGGATGTAGGACAATGAGTACCAGGTTAAAGCCACAAACTGCAATACGCAGCATACAATGGCCAATGCTGTATTTTTCAACTGAAATAAAAATTTCAAATTTGAGGATGGGTGCTTGAGGTCATTTATTGTTTTTAAATAAAATATATTAAAACTATTAGTACAGACTGTTATATATATAAATGTAAGTGCTTTTTCCAGAGTGTATGACACAGATATTTTCACAAACTTCTGTATTTAGAAAGAACTTTTTGTGAATATTTATTTCTTTTGGAAAAATTTGAACATTTATTTCATATCATATGAATTATATTTTCTTGACCAGATAACTTTTTTTTACTAGCAATGAATATACTTGTTGACAAAAAAACAACTTGGAACACCCTATTTGCATTTATTATTAATTGCAATCTGAAAAATAGCCATTAAAGTATTATAGATTCTATTTTCTCATTTTAATGAATTTTAATAACTACTGACTAACATGTGAAGGGAGATAGTTAACACCAAGGGAGATAACTAAACACCATTCTGATCATAACTTCCGTTAAGCTATAACAAAACAAAAGGTACTTACTGCAAAAGCACACACCAACGTCAAAATAAACATTACCTGGAACAGAATAAATAGCTTCAGGAGATGTACAATAGTTATATTAATGTCACAAACACTAATACCTTCAACTTATTGTAATTTCCTGACAATTAACTGAAACAAGAATGCAAATATATGTATAACAAAATAACAAGTAGTATATAATCAATACAAAATAGAAAGCAATATAAATTATAAGTAAAAGTCAAACGTTAATCAGGTTTTAACATAAAAATTCCCAACATCAGTTCCACTGCACCAGAAACAAATAACACAATTTAATAAATCTCATAATCCATGCTGGAGGTCGAATTTGCTCTTCTTTCATTCAACTTTTTTTCAGATTTACATAAAATAATATTGAAATCATCTTTTAAAATTTAAAGGGATTGAAATCATGCTAATATAGTTGGAGATGGTCTAGACTAGGAATTTTACAAAAGAGCGTTTGTAGAAATTGTACATGTACTACAAATTTTGACTGGTACAATGTAGTTGTAACTCCACTCCATGCAATTACACGATCTATTGTTCTTAAATATATATCTTCTAACTTTAACAGTCTTACTATTAACAAAATATTCACATAAATAAAGTGTTTTCATAATTTTATATAGCTATATTTTACATCAATTTTTACTTACTTCTACTTTCAAGTCTTTGTACTTTTGTTTTAAGTACCGGGTACCATTATAGGACCTTGAACATGTATGTGAGCACTACAACATTAGTCATGATGTGCATTTTCCCATAATAACGATTCGGACATTGGTCATACTTACAATTACAAGCAATGTGGCTATTATTCTGGTTTTGGCAAACATCTTTTTTAGTTGATTCAGAGGTCCCATAAGGAAACATGTGCTGAAAACAACATAATGTACTTTTATGACTTTAGAATTTTGTTTAACTTGGAATGTAAATTGAAGTCATATGAGAACTGATATCATATACTGTCAATAACTATCACTAAACAAGATTTCTATGCAAAACTTATTTAACTATATGTTGGTTTTCATTTATCTAGACCAATGATTTATTATAGTCATATATGTACATAAGTTTTTAGAATGTTATCTGTTATCAAAATCTGCCAAGATACATTATTACCCAATAGGCTTTATAAATTAGAATTAGTTATTTTTGACTGTTTCTGGCTTTTTTTCCAATTTCGGCTGTAGGGGTGAAACAGTCATAACTGTTTTCCCGGTCAGAGCGAACTGTTACCCGGTGCAAATTCGATACGCAGAATTCTCCCCTTGAGAGCCCCGTTCAAGCGTTTATTTGACCTCAGCATTGATACTAAAATATCTATTTGGTAATAAAACAATTATTTCAATGCTTTTAGGGAAACAGTCAAAACTACCATCCCTCGGTTAGGGGAAGCTCTGTGGAACTGTTTGCCAGGGCTTCCCCCCTAGCTACCTCGGGATGATAGTTTTGACTGTTCCGCAAATAGCCATGAAACATTTGTATACTAGAGTAACAAATGTCAAGGGATGGTCACTGACACTTGGTGAAATTCTATATTTAGTAACCCTGACCTTTGACCAATCATGCATACTCATAGTAAAACTTTGTCAAAGATTAGAATAACTGTAAGAGTGAAGTTTTATATAAATCTGTTTAGAAATAAGTGATCACAACACATGTTATTTTAGAATAAATTACCTTGACCTTTGACCAATCACGTCAGTACTATTTTTTTTAATGTTATCATAAAGGTAAGTTTACCTCTGAAGTGGCCTCTAAATGTACCAGAAAATGGCTGCTTGAACATGAGTGATGAACTAAGGTGAACATATTTGTGACATGGAAACAAATTTGTTAAGAAATACAACAGCTAAAGAGTGAAGATGAGGCAGTGAAATTTGACTTTTGATAAAAGTGACCTTGACATTTGATGAATAATGTCCATATCTGAACTTTCTTAAGGCCAAGGTAAGCGCAATTCTGAAGTATTACCAAATCTATTAGAAAATACAGCTGCCCATAAATTATATATAATCAAATGCTGTCAAATGGTGGTGGTAAAATTTCTGTATTACAGTGACCTCAACCTTCAACTGTTCATGCCCATCTCTCTTAAATGACCTCAATTTTTCATTACAACATGAATATGATTGAGTACTCAAATTAAATTAAACATTTTCAGCAACCATTGTCCAATTATTAATATCACAAATTATCATCGAAAATTTGATTGGTCATAATAATTCAAATTTAAACAATTAAATAAAATAAAATTTACCTACATATGTATATATCTGAATCATTAGTTATGTGTTTACCTTGTTAATGACAGTACATTTCCAAAGGTGTATAATACTGCAAATATTACCAGGCCATCTTTAAGGAATAGTAAACAGCTTCCCTGGAAAATTTGAGTGAAACAATGTTTACATATATATAACAACAAATATTTACCATGATGGAATTCAAAATACATTTTTGTATATATATAGACAGATATTTATTCGTGTTCTGCTAAAAACCAAATAGCTCTCACAAGCGCAGGAAGATTTCAATCCTTTCATATGTCTGAAGCAAGAGTGAATATATCAAAATAAATCATCCCATATATGTTTATGTATGCCCCTTCCTATATGATAGTATGTCTAATTTTTCTTTAACATCTTTAATCAGGCCATAGCTAGTCTCCAATATTTCATATGAATTTGTCTTTACCAAATTAAAGAATGTTGGAACATTTCTATGAGAGTTTGAAATGTTTTTTGTACATATAATTTGATATGAAATCTTTAACTTGACACTATCAAAATACACATGTAAAGAAGTAACAGTGTTTCCCACAAGCCTGATAAGCATGGCACGGCGCGCGCCATGCCCTTTTCCTCTGGCATCATGCCGTTTTCCCTGTTGCCATGCCTAGGGCCTTTTACCAAAAAGTTTTTTTTAGGATTATTTATTGCCTCCCTGTTCCCTGCTCTGGTCAGTGAAAGCCTGTAATACACAGTCCCTACATACTGACACCTACTTACAGAAGGCCAATTATCTTGTTTACTGAAGCTCAAGAAGACCAGGGTCAGGGCCCCAAGAGATGTCAGCTGTAGAGGCAGTGAAGACGTTCACACCTAGCCTAAGGTGGTTAACATAAGGTGAATAGATGCTATTTGCAGTCAAACAGGACTGTTAAAATCTATGTTGCATCTGCGAAATAAGTGTCAGGAAAAAGGGCACATAAGACCAAAAAGGACACTTTAATAAACAGCTTACAAAGTGCCCTTTTTTGTTTTATGTGAGGCCAAAAAAGCACCTTAAGTAACGACTAATTAAGTGCCCTTATTGCTCTAATGCACAGGCATACCAAACAGGGCACCTTAATTAACAGCTAAATAAGTGCCCTTTTTGATCTAATGCAAGACTTAAAAGTGTCCTTTTGCTTGCCACTTCTCTGTGCCCTTTTTTCCCATGTGGGAAACACTAACTGAAGCATATATATATATCTCACCAGAATTGACAGGCTAACACCCAGCACAAAACACACAATGAACCCCTTGATCCTTGTAGACCAGCTCAGGGTTGTACTATTGCTGATCTGCAAAAAGAAGTGAAATTCTCAGTTACTGCATATTTTAATATACCTAACACAATTGATTAGATGATCGAGGCCCCTGCTTCATGCATATTCCTTATCTTTAAGAAATTTCTCAAACAGGAAACAAGCATTTGTGAACAGGGACCAGGAAAAAGAAATTGTTCAGTTTCTTGAAAAGTGTTGCAGCTGATGGTAATGAATTTATACATATACACCAAGAAATAAATTATGAACTTGAAAAATAAATAAGACATTTTTACCCTAAAAACAAAATATTAGTTGCATAATTATGGAAGACTGTTTTATTGTTCGGGTCAACTATAAAAAAAGCCATGTTTTAGAAGTAAGGTGGTCAATTTTCAAATATTTGTATATATGCTAGATGTTTAAATTATGAGCATGCAGATATGAAAGCATTCGTTTTAATTTTGTTGGTGTTTCAGATTTGTATAGCTATATATCTTCACAAATTATGCAAATAGGGTGAATGTATCGTTAAAGAGAATGGGGTTGTGGTTTCAACTGCATGATGTTGATAATATCTGTGCAGATTATTGGAAGAAGAATATGTAGAAATAGAGATTATCTATTGCTGAACCAAGTGACGTGATTTATTTCCATCTGCAGTTGGTGTACTCAATATTTATGTCCCATTTCCCTTAAGCCGACAATGCAATTCAAGTAGCTTTCACTATACCCGCATAAACCATACCCGCATTAACACATGGGAATGAGTCACATCTATGGTTAAGATCACCTGTTGCTTGCTTAAAAATAACTGTTAAAAAAATCTTGAGCCCAATTGTTTTTAATACAGCAATATCGTCAACATATGTAATTTTTTTATTCCATTCAGAAGCGTTGATAAGCAATCATGCAGGAATGAAACAAAAATTATCTATCTAACTGTCACAGCAATAAGAATATTGCAAGACTACTGTTACTGTAGTTAAGTAAAGTACGATTGGTTTGTCATACTGCTGTTGTTTTTCGTATTTAACAATCGACACGCCTACATATATACCTGTGTTACAATACCCTCCTCTTCATCTTCATCATTTCCACTGAGAACTTTCTTTAATTTGTCCATTCTCGCTCAAATTTATAGTTTTGAACTTACGGCAAAGAACGAAAACTAAAACATGCCCACTTCCTGTTAACAGCGACATCACCCGGAAGTACATGTGTTAACACTTCAAGGACGATAACCAGTATCCAAAAACAAGGTGTCACACGACCAAACAAATATGGTCAGGAATGGATAGATCATATGTGCTTAATTGACCCCTTTTGACTCAAAACCGGCACAAGACTATGACTAATTCTTAACACTTTGGATCATTGCCTAAGGTCGGCTTTTCGATGTATAAAAATAGTGATTTTTGCATTTTATTGAAATAATTGCATCTACATCTTAGATGCATTGAACCTATTTACAATGGAATTGAACATTCATGTAGGCCTAATAAGCGCCTTCAGTGCGAGGGAATTCCCTTTAGCTTAATCAGTACTTGGCGAAATCGGAATTGCTGGTTCGATCCTCGGTGTAAGCGAAACTGCTCTTTTTACTGTTACATAGGTAAACAACATATCCTTGAATAAATTTAATGGAACCTTTATGAAGCGGATATCTTTATTTGGATTGAACATCTATGTTGATTTTAGTATAAATTCAAGTCTGTGATATTAGTACTGAAAATATTGATTTTAGGGTCGCTTCACAGAATTGAAGCATTCATGCTTCACCGGTGGTCATTTAGACAAGCCAACTATATTGATTATAACTCTTTTTTCCCCCCGCAGTTTTGCGACTGATTGAAGCTAGATGCATTGTGATATCACCTTATAAATAAAGTGTGCTATACGACCTAAGAGCTATGACGCCAGTATTGAGAGAAAATATCTTATACTTTAAGTTGAAAAGGGCCTTTGAAAAGGAAGAAAGTAAAACCCCGCTGCCCAATTGCACAAGCAAAAATAACTTGCTCTTGTGTGACCAGAGGAACACCTAGACGTACAGGCAGGACACGCTGATAACGAAAAACTAGAAATTAAAACTCACAGTTGTGTTCTTTTATAAATGTAACTGATGTCGGCCAGATCCATATCCCTCATATTATTTACCGGGTCCACATGCACCTTAATTGTACGGCGTCGCTTAGGGCAGAATATCCGGCGGATTTCGCACCGTGTTGGATCGATCCATATTTTAGTTAGATACGTTCATGTTTTTCAATATTTTATCTATCTAATTTAATAGTTTCAATATCCTCCCTTTATAACTAAAAGTTGAAAACTAACGTCGGGGAAGTGAAACAAATATATATATATACATATGAATAAATCTATAGGCAAACAGAGACGTATATATACGTCTCTGGGGCAAGTAAGAAATAATGACAGTGCAGACATAGAAATTTGTCAAAATCATATAAATAGATATATAAATAAACCAAAAAACCAATAAACGAAGACTAGTATAATCGGCTAGCGCTTTCGCCCATCTTGGGGCTCTTCGGGCGATTTAAATTTATTTGTGACGTCATAAATGAAGTACACATACTTTTAAAGACGTCAATTTCTAAGTCTTCGTCCTGTATCACATGTATTAAATAGCGAGAAATAATTTAAATGTCCATGTGACGGTAAAAATTTAAATTGAAAACTTAAATTTGAAGCAATATATATATCTATTTCTTGTACAATTCGATATATCTCTACTGTAAGTAGACATCACCAAAATGAAATACAAATATCATTTACTCAAAATACAGAGATGACTAATTGAAATATATATCTCTAATACATATACAAATGTTTGTATGGAAAATAGAAATATCTGTGTTTAAACGGTATATATATCGCTTTCCATACACCCGAGAGGATGTAATTTGGATCAAGGGGATAGATAACGTTGAACGGATCTTACGATAAGTTCATGTAGCTGGGTTTATCCGGTCTGTACATCCTATCTCTCCCGATTGGTTGAAGAGGATCATTGATAAGTGACCATGGATCGCTTTGTGACGGACACTCTGTGTTTGATATTCAGAGCCGGGACTCATTCAATACTTACATGTATAGGATACATGTACGTCCCTGTTCTGAGTCAACCGGATATTCCGTACGATATTTGATAATACCATTGTTTGTACGTTGTGTTACATGTGCTGTCTAAATCTGATATATATTTATCTCATTTGCATGTTTCTGACTGAATATACTATTAATATGATTGGTTCTATGCGGTTTAAGTATTTCAGACATCTTATCCTATCCTTAATACACTTCTTAACGATTTTTACACACGTCACTGGCAATATTTATATGCAAAATATAAGAGAATGCTATGAAAGTATGGGAAACTATCAATATTCGACTCGTGTGAAACACCGGTCTTTAAAAGCTAGACAGCCTTGTGCGTGACCCTGTACCACCAGTATTTTGTATTTAATACTTGTAAAGCTTGCCTGGGTCAATATGACACATTGTTTTGATTTCTCTATAACGCCTACACCAACGGGAAAATGACCATTGAATGGTGTATGCAAATGAAAGTGTTTTAGTTTTTTTTTTTTTTTTAAATACAGCATTACTCTCTAACAGAAATTTTTGTAATTGACAGATATGAAGAGACACCAATATATACATGTATGGAAGGCATGAAAGTGCGCTTTTAGCAAGTCATACTGTCGACTTGTCTATAGTACACTTGTAAAACACACTAGTTTACAAGTTGTTAACGTATGAATGATTTAATAAGTTATTATATGTTTGAAATAGTTAATGCATGTATGATTTAAATACAAAGTTATTTTGTTTATGATTTAGGTAGTAATGAGTATAAATATTTCAAACAATAATTGTAAGTGTAGTAGGACGAGGATTAATGATAAATATAGTGCCGTCGCTGGGGCTCGAACCTGATGCTGTATTGCTAAGCTAAAGGGAAATTCCCCACAGCTGACGCTTGTAAAGCAACCTAATCAATGCACATCTTTAACACTATTCCCCCTTGACTCCTCCCCTTCCAGGTTTCTCCTACCTTGAACGGGGAGGGTCAACGGCACCTGTTTGTAGTAGGACAATAAATAGTGATAAAGATATAGTACCGTCGCTGGGGCTCGAACCCGCGATCATTGGCTCTCAAGGCTCTAAAACCCGATGCTCTACCGCTGAGCTAAAGGGAAATTCCCCACAGCTGACGCTTGTAAGGCAACCTAATCAATGCACATCTTTTACATAAGCCTGCTTTGAGTAGTAAATCTATGTATATTGCAGTTGTAATTATATCATGTTCAAGATCGAGTAGTTTTACAGGCATGTGTAATTATAGCTATAGACGAAAACGTAGAGCCATTGTAATGTTACAAGATATCAGGAAACATCGAGAAGCTCAGAGTCCTTAGTACCTCACATGGAAAGGGACCTCAATAGTTCAGCTGGATTGTTTTTATTAATATAAAACCTGTTGACTACTATACACTTAGCTGTAGCAAGGCCTCAATCCCTAGGGACAAGAGAGATACTAAAGACATGTGTTTGTTTCATCCTTACTACCAATTTCAATTATGGTTTAGGGTGGGGATCTCAACTTTTCAATATTATTAAAACTTAAAGATTAAATACCAAGGGTTGAGATGGGACCTCAGGGCCATTCCTAGTAGCATGTTATTATAAATCTCTTCAGGGCCAGCGGTTTCTATGATATACCCCTGAAAGTACGTGTAAGTACACAAGAGAGAGGCTGACCCCCTCGAGATAATCCTTGTAGCATGCATGAATTTGTTTCAAGGTAATTTTTGTTCACAGGTGCTGTTGGCTTCTATCCTAGAAAGCTTAACAACCAAATATCATAACTCTAGACTTTTCGGTTTTACACAAGAAGTCGTTTGAAGGTTTTGGCATAATCGACCCCTGATACCTTGAAGGTAGGTAAAAGTAATTTTTGTCAGCATTAATCCGATAATCTTCCAGCCAAGAATCATGACTTTTGGCCTCTTGAAACTTTATAAGTCATATAAAGGTTTTGACATATTTAATCCCTGTGATCTTGAAAGAAGATGAAAGCTAGATTTCTCCGCAATCTTTTGCTAGGCGTTATCCCAGGAAGCTACCATTCATACATCATGACATTAGGCCTTTCGGTTCTGCAGAAGAACGTTTGCTGATGTCACTTTTGTTCACAAACTTCGTTTGATATTATCTTGAAAAAGTACCAGCCAAAAACGACTTTAGGCTTTTAGAAACTCTTGAAAAAAATCGTTTGAAGGTTTTGACAAATATTTGACCATGTGACCTTGAAAAAGGTCAAGGTCAGTTTTATTCGCGAACTGAATTTAGCTCCATTCAAGAAAGCTACCGGCAAAATGTTATGACTCTAATCTCTTTAGCTCTTCAGAAGAAATTAGACAAGTAGTTAATGCAACACGGTAACAACTTAAAAATAACAAGAAGGAGGGGTCACGAGGTCAATCTGCTATACCAAGTGTAGCTATACTCCTGCAGTTTTTTCAACTCTCAATAAACAATCAACCCCTGCTACGCCTTATCTTATCGCTCGCGTCTTGTTATTGCAAATGTGATAATGCCCATGTTTAGCTTCGTTTTAACATTATCTAATTAAATACTACAATAGATGTATGATTTTGAAAAAGGATAGGAAGGCAAGCTTTAAGCTTAAGCTTTATCTCAAATATTGTATCGTACAGGATGTTTATAGAGACCAATTACAACATAAAACGACAGCCGCAGTTGGATCTTCATTCATTCTTTCGGATATGCGATGTATTGTATACTTGTTTACTTTTATTAAGCCAGTGACACAGGAACTGTCCAACTCCGTGATTTATATCACTAGTGCGCTATATGCCCTGTCGGTCTATTTCCTTACTATTGTTAGGAAAACAGGTGGACGAGATGTGACATAAGGATAAATGAATTATAATCATAGTCCGTATTGTAATATACTCAGTAAAAAGGAATGTCAACAGTACTTATAGCTTAAATAATGTTGTTACAATTGTTTTCAACTTGGTATGAACTTGTTCATTAACGTGTTTGTTTATTAGCTTGCCATCAATCAAGAAAATTACTAGATATAAATTAACGCAGGGTTAGTGGACTTTCCTAAGTAATAAGCCAAGTTTCCTAGATCACATGTTTAGTACAGCTTATAACCACCGTTTAAACCGAACACAGCATTGCAACGGCATCGCATAAAACTTGTACAACGGTCGATAAGGTGAGAAAGGAAGTTGTTGTATTCATCGGTCACTGAGTCGGTCAGCTCCTATAAGTTGATGGACGTGATTTTAACATTAAATGTACGGTATGGGTGATATGTCGGGTGACTAAATGGCCAATCCGACACCTGCACAAAGTTGTAGAAAAGTTCTGCAGACGCGACTGTTGCATGCCGGTGCGTTATGTTGTTGAAAATAGCGCCAGTGCCGTGCATTACATATATTTGGAGTCGATAGGGCATCCCATTTAATTTGCAAGACACTGCAAGAAGTCTGGTACGGTTACCGACACAAATACCACCACAGACAAACATACTAACTCCACTAAAGGGCCAACGACGCAGCAGCTTGCAAGGCGTACTCCCCGGCGTCTCCACACTCACCGCACTACAGTCGCCATGTGATTACCAGGATATTGATTCATTCGTAAAAAGAGCACTGCTCTATTGGCGAAGAATACAATAACGGTGCGTACGCGCCCAATTTAGCCGGTTGTTATGGTTACATAGTGTCAAGATTGCCCCTGTGTTAGGGTGTCGAACTTTTAATCGGGCTTCTTCCAAGCGGTTTAAGATAGTTTGGGTAGATACACAACGTGACCTGGAAATAGACGCAGTATTAATGACAACGCGAGTTTTCAGCTGTCACTAGAAAGTGCTATCTTGATTAGTCAACCCTCCCCTCCCCGCCCACCGTATCGCACCAATAGCACGTGCGACTACATGCATACGATTAGTTCTACCCCTATCCCGATACACATGTCACAACGCATAGCCACTGCAGTCCCAAACACACACATATTGTCTATACGTGTACTACCCTATGAACACTGCAGTCCCAAACACACACATGTTGTCTATACGTTTACTACACTTTGTACACCGCAGTCCCAAACACACACATGCTGTCTATACGTTTACTACCCATTGACACTGCACTCCCAAACACACACATGTTGTTTATTCGTTTACTACCCTGTGTACACTGCAGTCCCAAAAACACATATGTTGTCTATACGTTTACTACACTATGTACACTGCAGTCCCAAACACACACATGCTGTCTATACGTTTACTACCCTTTGAACACTGCAGTCCCAAACACACACATGTTGTCTATACGTTTACTACTCTGTGTGCACTGCAGTCCCAAACACACACATGTTGTCTATACGTTTACTACCCTGCGTACACTGCAGTTCCAAACACACACATGTTGTCTAAACGTTTACTACCCTGTGTACACTGCAGTCCCAAAAACACACATGTTGTCTATGCGTTTACTACCCTGTGTACACTGCAGTCCCAAAAACACACATGTTGTCTATGCGTTTACTACCCTGTGTACACTGCAGTCCCAAACACACAAATGTTATCTATACGTTTACTACACTATGTACACTGCAGTCCCAAACACACACATGGTGTCTATACGTTTACTACCCTGTGTACACTGCAGTCTCAAACACACACATGTTGTCTATACGTTTACTACACTTTGTACACTGCAGTCCCAAACACACACATGTTGTCTAAACGTTTACTACCCTGTGTACACTGCAGGCCCAAACACACACATGTTGTCTATACGTTTACTACACTATGTACACTGCAGTCCCAAACACACACATGATGTCTATACGTTTACTACCCTGTGTACACTGCAGTTCCAAACACACACATGTTGTCTAAACGTTTACTACCCTGTGTACACTGCAGGCCCAAACACACACATGTTGTCTATACGTTTACTACCCTGTGTACACTGCAGTTCCAAACACACACATGTTGTCTATACGTTTGCTACCCTGTGTACACTGCAGTCCCAAACACACAAATGTTATCTATACGTTTACTACACTATGTACACTGCAGTCCCAAACACACACATGGTGTCTATACGTTTACTACCCTGTGTACACTGCAGGCCCAAACACACAAATGTTGTCTAAACGTTTACTACCCTGTGTACACTGCAGTCTCAAACACACACATGTTGTCTATGCGTTTACTACCCTGTGTACACTGCAGTTCCAAACACACACATGTTGTCTAAACGTTTACTACCCTGTGTACACTGCAGTCCCAAACACATAAATGTTGTCTATACGTTTACTACCCTGTGTACACTGCAGACCCAAACACACAAATGTTGTCTATACGTTTACTACCCTATGTACACTGCAGTCCCAAACACACATATGTTGTCTATACGTTTACTACCCTGCGTACACTGCAGTCCCAAACACACACATGTTGTCTATACGTTTACTACCCTGTGTACACTGCAGTCCCAAACACACAAATGTTGTCTATACGTTTACTACCCTGTGTACACTGTTGTCTATATATTTAACATTTACATAATCTTTAATGAATTGTGATACCTGTTGGTGCAATTCCCATATTTCAATACGTTACACCTAATAACATACATGGATTGTTCTATAATTATGCACAGCGTATTGTTTTACTGCGAATTTACTTTGTGAGAGATAGGTGATGAGACAAGTTTCAGGATTAGCTACATAAAGTGTTTGTGTATATATTTTGTTTGTTAATTTGGTATATGAGTACTTCATATGTAAGCGTGCCCTTACTACACTACTGTGAATCAGCTACAGTGATCACCTCCCTGTCATAGCTAGCTTTCACAATAACCTAGGAGATGTGTGTTCGAATATATATATATAGATATAACCACAGCACTGGTTTACGAGAATTTGAATCATGTACAAAGGTTCATATCAATACCCAAATTTAATCATATCAATGTGAAAATAAATGAAAGTCCGTCGCAAGGATGCTACGTATTTGACACGACAGTACAGAGAGGGATGATTTTCTGGAGTTTCTACTAATAAAAGATAACAAGACTTTTCACTGAGCTAGACGGGTGATTTGTTTCCTTGAAATAGGGTCTAAACTCCGTTGTACGAAAATATGAATCAACAAACGTTACAAACGGATTTCCTCCCGGAGGTATGAGGCTGTGCTGTGCACACACGCAGTTAATATTATATATACACTTATAACAAAACACAAAATTAACTCAATTTCAAAAACGGCTCTAGAGATGAAGAGGTACGTGCTGGTTTGTTGTATACTGAAGGTAAGAAACATACTTAACGCTCAGTTACTGGGGAATGTTCGTCCTGAACAGGGAAACCGGAATTCTTCTCTATGGCGAAACATGTATATGATAACCCTGTCATAGGTACTAGTGTAACTCTAAATTGGAGCTGTGCCAGTTGATGATTTTCTTGTGGGAGGGTATCTCTGTCTCTTCCTCTGTCTCTTGCTCCATATCTGCTGCATGTATGACAGAGCTGTCCAGGGTAAGAAAGGGATGTTAGAAATATCTATCTTACACCCTATTTCTTGTGCATAACGTCACCATGGGACAACAGTGACGTGACGTCCCTATACTGGGATCATTCTGATACCGCGATATGATATTTTGACAAATTTATTGTCGTTTCTGAGCTAATTCAGGTTATTTGAATGAGGGGTATAGGACAGACAGGTAAATGCCACCCTCAGGATTAAGCCTCAGATAGAAAGAACGAGTCTCCACTCTGTATCATTAAGCCTGTCTCGGTCTGTATTTCTGCCTCTGTTGTTCTCTCGGTGTCATTCCTGGTAATATCCCTGTCTTTGTCTTTTTGTTCACACTTATCTGAATGTTTTTCTTCCTGGAGCCTTAAGGGGGTCTTCCCCGAATACCAACTCTGCTTAAAATCACATGTTTNTTAAGTAACCAATATGTTATCCAATGTTTGTATACTACAGACCATATACATCTAATTAAATAAGATCGGAGAAGGACGAATGTATTCCGATATTTGCCAAAAAAACCCCAACAACCCAACAAGACAAGTGAAATATTCAACTGAATTATTGAAATAATATGTAGATTAACACTTACACTTAATATAAGTGATCTGTTGTAAATACTTGCACAGTAATGTGATTCAAGTGTTACACATTGCCAATCTTTCTTAGATGGTTTGAAGGCACTTACGCTGTAATATAATCAAAACTAGTATACATGTGTACTCTTATCTCATATATTTACAATATAATTACACTGATAAAGTAAAATACAGAATGACTTAAATGTACAATAAATCATACTCATACCAGGAGTACCATGGTTACTCGTACAACAAGTATCGTGGTGTATCCCGTGATATCCAGTGATTTATGTTAGACACTGTATTTAACTATTTACCACTGTGACATTGCCAATATTTAACGCCTCTAAGTTCGGATAACAATCAGATTAATTATGATTGTCATGATCTACGTGCTGACGTCATCATTACTACGATGTCTTAAGTAGGACATTGCATATCATTTACTTTTTCTTGAAGATGCATACTATATTCGTATATTATTATGAAAGCAAATTGAAAGCAAAGGCCCCTCGGGCTGATATCGGGACTCTCGGGCTGATAAGGGATATGATATCAAAATGGTCATATTATAAACTTTTTATCATATGTTCAAGCAACAAAAAATCAAGTCAGCAGGAAAAACAATTAGATAATTTAATCAACAATGTCAACTGAAACAGATTATTACAAGATGATATTCAGTGCATTTTCCTTATCAATGAGGTCATCCAATTCAAATATTCTAGACGCTAGAAAATTAAGTATTTCCTCTCCCTGGTTTGTTAACATTTTGTTTGTTGACGTCTGCTCAACACACTGTCTAAGCAAAAAAACAACTGACAGCGCCAATCCGGATTTTACTCGGAACGCTTCGGGCGCTTCCTATATCCAATACAGAAGTAGAGGTGTTCCGAACAGGGGATGCATTACGTTTT